CGGAGTGCGCTGTGGCCGGCATGGGAGTCAAAAACAGTTAACCAAAAAGCCTAGTGCTTTCTCGTTTTCTTGCTCGCTGCTCTCTGCAGGATAACGGAGAAGCAGTGAAAGAGTTGGAGAAATTCACGTACCTCGGCGTGGTGTTACCTAATGAGGGAAAATGGAAGAGATCGACCTGCGGGTTGGAATAGTCAGTGGCGTTCTGCGGCTACCAGTCCGAACCATTGTAACTAATGCAGGGCTGAATCTAAAGACTGATCTTTATGTTCAAGATGATTTTCATCCGCATGTCACCGATCAGGGTGTCTGTGGTCGTGAATCATGGACCATGACAGAAAAACTTCGATCCTGGGTACATCCGTTGAAATAGGCTTTCTGAAACAAATCGCTTGCCACTCCTCTGGACGTGATCAAGAATGCAAAAATTCGAGGGAACCCTTGTTAACAGCCGCTGTTTCTTCAGATTAGGACTGATGTTATGGTTGGATGACGTCTTGCATATGCTTACAGAATGGAAGGCGAAACAAATTCTGCTTGCTCGACCGACCGACGGAAAATCCCGAATGTGGCCAGGAATGATTATTAGCAAGTTCCTCAACGGATTGTGCTCTAGACTCCGTGTATCTAATGGCGAAGTTATCATACCGACACAGCCTCGGGAACTTTGGAGACACGATTTGACTCTTCTGCCTTAGCGACTCTTAGGGATAAGCGGACATCAAAACTGACCGACATGTGAATGATTTAGATTGGTACTGTAAAGAAATATCAGAAGTGATCGCTTCATTTTCTGTAGAATCGATGAAGAAACAAGCCACATAGAATGAAAAAGACATACTCCATACGGTTAGGCCTGAAAATCACTATTACCCATTGCTTTCGCTCCAGTTGGTACGCATTTTGTTTATGGGCAACTGCGAATGGTGAATATGATATGCTTCTTTGAGGGCTGATGGAGTCATTTATCTTTTCTACTACTGTGTGGACTTAGCTCGCATGTACTTTTTGTTAGTAATTTTGGTACTTGCTTTGACGTGACTGGATTTGTCCTTTTCCGTGGAAGCAGTATCCGGCTGTTCTCTGTCTGCTGTCGTATCGATGAGCTGGAGTTGTTCGGATGCAGCTTTTAGGTGACCAAGAAATTTGCTTTTAGGTGTCTTCCCACGAGACAATGGACAAAAGGAAATGGAAGGTGTCATTCCTTCATCCGGACCTCGGTATCGGTGGGGCGGAGCGGTTCGTGGTCGATGCCGCGAAAGTACTGAAGAGGTCAGGCCATGACGTACAGTTTTTTACCTGTCACCACGATCCGACCCACTGCTTTCCAGAAACGGTCGATGGTCAGCTGCCTGTAATCGTCGTTGGCGACTGGCTGCCCACGTCGCTTTTCGGTCGCTGTCGCGCTCTGTGCACTTACATACGAATGCTGTGGCTGACGGTGTACTTCATTGTGTGCGCCAGGCCGTCGTGCGATCTCGTCTTTTTGGACCAGGTGTCCGTTGGTATTCCCTTGCTTCGTTTGAAGAAGGGTTGCAAAGTGATCTTCTACTGTCATTTCCCGGATCAGCGACTAACCAGCCGCTCTTCACTACTGAAATCCATTTATCGCTTTCCCATCGACTGGCTCGAAGAATGGAGCACCGGACTAGCCGATCAGGTGCTAGTTAACAGCCATTTCACAGGTAACACTATTGCTTATGGCCTCCAGGTGGAGAGCGCAGTAGGTTTATATGGACATGTAATGACGATATCACAGGAGAGACTCGCCAAGCCTGCTATCTTAGCAAAGCCACAGAGAATTGGCCCCAGGGCCAGAGCGTGGTTATAAAAGATCGATTAATCAGAGGAATCAGAAAATCACTTATTATTTTTCCCATACATGTTACAATGCTACACAGATAAAATTTTAAAATTACTACTTTTTATGATGATTGTATTCTATTTAACTGAATAAAGCACTATTTAAGTGTTAAATGATGCTTTTGCCTTGTAGAGAAGTAACTGTTCTTGAAGTGTAAACATGAGAGGTCGCGCAAACAAAGCATATGCAATTAACTTCATTAAGAGTTTTTTATCAGATGTGAAATAATCGTGTAATTAGGACAAATCTGCGTCTTGAGAAGCGTTGGTCCATCTTCGATACATAAGCATCCGATGTCTTACACAAAAGTGTAAAGCTGCGAATGCGTCAGCATGACGTTTCGCGTATGCCGACAGCCGAGAGTAATGATCACAAGAGTCAAATGGAACTGAGAGGCTGAAGGAATTCATGCAGTGTCCCATTTTAACTGTGCAATGTACTGT